TCACCCGCAGCCTCACCTGACTCCTGCGGCCTCTCGTCCCCTGCCACTGCCTGGGGATCCCTCCACGGCCCTGCCGCACCCCGCCTCCCTCGGGGCAGGAAGGGGGTCCGTGGCCTGGGTGCGGGGGGCCCGCGGCAAAGCGCCAGCGAGCGGGAGAAGCTGCGGATGCGGCGGCTGGCACAGGCGCTGCTGCGGCTGAGGCACTACCTGCCCCCCGCGCTGGCACCTGCGGGGCAGAGCCTCACCAAGATCGAGACCCTGCGCCTCGCCATCCGCTACATCAGGCACCTCTCGGCCCTGCTGGGGCTCAGCGAGGAGGCACTGGCCCGGCAGCGGGGGGCAGCCCCCCGCCACTGCCCCCTCTGCCCCCAGGGCCTGGGGTGCTGCCAGAGCCCGGAACCCCACCGGCACCCACCAGCCCAGCAGGAGGCTTTGCCCTCCGGCACTGGAGGCTGGGGCTCACCTGCTGTGGCAGGGACCCCCCTGGAGCTGGGGGCCTGGAGGTCACCACCCTGCGGCCCTGCTGCAGGGCCCCCCCCAGAGGTGCTTGGGGTTCCCGACACAGGGATGGAGGCCTGGGGGTCACCCTCCTACATCCCTGCAACAGGGACCCCCCCGGAGCTGCACGGGGCTGTCGCGTCCAGCACGTCCTCCTGGCTGTCCCCTCCTCACTGCGCAGGGGCAGGGGCCCTCCTGGACCTCCCCGGCGACCCCCTCCTGGACACGGGGCTGATGCTGCCTGAGTTCGTGGATGCAGGGACAGTCACCCAGGTATGTGTGCTGGCGGGGTTGGGGTGAGCCCAGGCAGCACCCCACCATGGGGCTGGCTTCAACCCCCCACAAAGTGTGCTCAGGGCTCTCTTGGCTTGGAGCAGCATGGGGACTGGTTTTGGGGTACATTGCCTGGTGTTGGGAATGGGGAGGGGTCCCCCTCCTCCTGGCAGCGGGTGAGTTTGGCCCCCTCAACCTTCCCCGACCCTCCTTTGTGTGTTGGGGTCCCATCTGCTGCACTAGTACTCCTCCCCCTGCACCCCCCGGGGATGCCTGTACCCCTACCCTAGCCATTCATTATCTCACCCCCCCTCTGCTCCCCCCAGGACCTCTCCGCAGACCTGCTATCTCTCTTGGAGGCTCTGCTCCCATCACAGACCCAGGACTGACCCGAAGCAGCCCCTACTCCCCGGTGCCAGACCCCTGGTGCCATGCAGCCCTGCGACGCATTGTCCGGACACCTGGAACTTGGGGGACACATGTGTCCCCCTCTTTGGACAGCTGGGAGAGGTGGCGGGGACAAGCTGCCTCTTGTGTGAGCCTGGAGCTGTGTAGGACATGCCGGGAGGGCCATGGCTCTACATAAATAAACCCCTGTGCCCCTCCATGTGTTGCCACGTCACTGTTCCCGCCACAGGAGTCAGGCATGGGATGGGGGCACAGTGTGCCCAGAAGCCCATTTTGTCTCTGGGAGCAGGTTTGATGCCGAGAGAGGGGGGCTGAGGTGGTGGGTGTCTGGCCAAGAGTGGGCAGGGGCACGGGCCCAGGACCATCTTGCCATGTTGCACAGGCTGGGGACCCTGGCACGGGGCTGGGAAAGTGATTTTGGGGAGGTGTCGAGGGGGGAGACACCTCCTGCCCCGGGTCTGCCGCCGAGGGGGGTCACTAACAACTTCTGGATCTGGCCCTGGGGCTCAGTGCGAGCTGAGCATCGCCTGCCCCCGGTGCTGGTGCCTGTGACACCTCCCCACTGCGTGGGGTTAAAATGGGCTGACCCCATCAGGCTGGAGACCCTGCAGGCGGAGGGGAATGTGGTGTGGGTGCAGATGGGGCCCCTCTGCCCCCCAGCCCCCTTGGCGGCTCCCTAGGGGGGTGGGGGGACCCGCGGGAGTCCATCACAGGGCCCGTGGTGGAGCCCGACAGCCGGGTGCTAATGCTGGGGGGGGGTGGCTTCTCCACCCACCCCGGGGGCTCTGGGGCAGGGGGTCTGCAGGGCTAATGAGCCCCACTTAGCTGTGAAATGACTTGCTAATAACGTTAATTCCCTCTGTTGGAGGGGGCGAAGACTTTGAGATGCAAAGCATCCTGCGTGCCCTCCCCCAGGCTGCAGTTCCGACCCCCCCC